TGCTGGTCAGGGGCTGCCCCGCCACACCTGTGGAGGGCCTTTGGGTGGGTTTCACAGGGTCCGGAAGGTCTCTCCCCTCCTTATGACACAAGCCCAGGGCTGGCCACTGGGCCAGAGTCCAGAAAAGGACTGGAGACGCTCGGGGGCAGAGCAGCAGAGCGACCGCTCACACACCTGTGGAGGGCGTCCCCGGCCTGTGCTGGTCAGGGGCTGCCCCGCCACACCTGTGGAGGGCCTTTGGGTGGGTTTCACAGGGTCCGGAAGGTCTCTCCCCTCCTTATGACACAAGCCCTGGGTTTTCTAAAGAACCAGGTGGGAGAGGTGGAAGCCCCCCTGCTGGCCGGGAGGAGAAAGCCTGGTGCTGAGCTGCCAGGCGGGATGCCTCGCTACCCAGGGACAGCTCCCCACGTCTGAGGGGAGTCCTGCCATGCTGGCCTCCTCCCAGGACCAAGAGGCCGCTAAGGGCCTCCGTCTCCAGATCCCTGTCTCTGGCAGCACCCTCCTCCCTGGGCCTGGGCCGCCCTGAGAGTGCTGGGTCCGAGTCCAGGCCTCCCTGGTGTCCGCTGTGAGGTGGTCACGCTGTCTCCCACAGATCTGCTTGGAAATGGGGAGAAAAGTGGTCAAGTGGTCATCTGTCAGCCTGGGCGGAGAGCACACTGAGGGCTGGAACTGGGTCATCCTGTCCCCCCAAGCCACAGGCCTCTGCTATGACAGACCCTACAAAAAGACCCGATCCCCAGGGGGAAAAGACCAAGGGGTCCCCAACACCACGGGGACCTGCTCACCCATTTCCATGGGAATTCTCGCAAGATCCCGATGACACAGTGCTGCCTTTGTAAAGAGACGAGATGGGCACACCGCACTGCCAGGAGCCTTGCTGGTTTGCTTTCTGTCTTTGTGTTTGTGTGTCTCTATTTTCTAAACTTTCTGCTGAATATTTTCTATTAATCATCCTCTCATCCCGTTTTGTTTTCTATGGTTTCAGTTACTTGGGATCAATCTCTGACAATATTAAGTGGAACATTCCAGAAGTGAGTGATTGCATGACATCGGCGTAGCGTGATGGAATCTTCACCCATCCTGCTCCGTCCTGCCCAAGATACAGCCATCCCTTTGTGCAGTGTATCCCTGCTGTATGCACTACCTGCCCACGCGGCAGTCTCAGTCATCGAGCCATCGCAGAATCACAGTGCTTGTGATGGAGTGACCCTCCCCCAGCATGCTGTGTCACTCTGCCTACGTCACGCACTCATCTCATCCCACCCACAGCACCATCCTAAGAAGGTTGAGGACAGTATGATCAGCATTCTGAGATGGGGGGGACCACATTCATCAGCTTTATTGAGATATTTTGTTGTAATCATTCTGTTTTAACATGAGTCACCGATGTCTTTTTCTTACTAAGCTGGATCTATGAAGTGCACTCTATCACAGGTTTTGTGCAGAGGAGAAGCGTTGTGTTTGTAGGTTTGGTGCTTTCCTCAGTCCGGCCTCCACAGAGGATCTGGAAACTCATTCCTGAGGACAAGGGGCACTACAGTGGTTTTTAGGCTTCGACGACACCTTTTTCTTACAGGAAAAGCCCCGTCTGCGAGGGGACACTTCACCTGGCTCACGCCAAGGCCGCTGAAATTGACTGGGATCCATGCAGAGGCCGTGGGAGCAGGCAGAGTCCCAACCTTTTGGTCACTGCTGTCCCTCCTTGGCCTGCTCCTGAGGAGGGGAGCCCAACCCCCACGGTCCGCCTGGCCGCTCAGCTGTGAGGAATCATAGCTTTGGCCGTGGGGCTGGGCTCCTCCCTTGTCTTCAACCTCTGTGCCTTGGCTCCTCTGTCCCATCGTCCTTGCCACAATGCTCCAGCCCTGGGGTAGCACAGCAGTGAGACATCTGCCCTCCGAGCACCTCTGGAGAAAATCACACAAATATCTGGGCAACAGATTGCAAATGGACCTTTGATGCTACTGCATACGGCCACTGTATCTGTCTTCCAGTCTCAGGACGCATCCCGCTCTTCTCTCTCCAGTTCTTCCCCTGTCACCGAGGACCTCTGCGCAGAGACCAGAGAGAGAGAGGTAAATGGCACGTCCCGTGTCCACACCTCTGCCCGGGGGCAGTGCCCATCCCAGGCCACTCTCCCTGCCAAGCCTGCTGCCCCACAGCCCTGGTTTGCTGCCTTCCTGCGTCACTGTCCTCTGAAGTGGCTTTCTGGTTGTCTTCGGTCTCTGCCGTCTCCTTGCCCAGGACTGGGGGTGCCGCAGTCTGGCTGGGCACAAATCACGAGCCACTCAGGCAGGAACAAACTTTATTTTTGAACTCCCTCGAACGCCACGCACACGGCCTTCTCCCGGGACACACACACACACACACACACACACACACACACACCAACCAGAAATTCCTCCTCTGGCACTTCCTCAACCAACATGAACTCCCCAGGAATCCCCGTGAGAACTCCAAAGTAGCCTGAGGCGGACAGCAGGGGTCTAATATACAGTTGAATACACAGCTTAATATAACCATCATCATCTCAATGGCTTGCTGGCGTCACCTCTCAACCACTCCGTTCTGGCAAAAATGCCATGTCTCATTCCTACTCAGCTATGGCTCTCAACATCTCCCCCCTTCTGTTTAATTAAACAACAAGCATGTGGCTTAGGGACCGTGCCTGCCTTAGGTTGTCCAATACTACATATGGTCCTTCCCCGTCATCGGATGAGCTGACCTCTAGGCATCAGCCTCCTGTCTCAGGTTGGTACCACTGCAATTGGATCATACCCGTCACTGACTACCAGTCCAGCATACAGCCATACTTGTGGATAGGCCTATGCACCAGTGTGGGGGGGTGAGGTTCTTGCCTCACCTCTGTTGGCCCCCAATTTGGCCTTTGCGCCAGTGGGGGGTGAGGTTCTTGCCTCACCTCTGTTGACCCCCAAATTTGGCCTTTGCGCCAGTGGGGGGTGAGGTTCTTGCCTCACCTCTGTTGGCCCTGGAGAGGAGACATCTGACTGCTCGCCCCTCTCACCAGAGCCTTTGGGGACTCTCAGGTGCAAGGCCCGTCCAGAACTCAGGCGTGGGTCATCCATCTCACCTCTCTCAGGACCTGTCCCTGCCCATCGTGACACCAGCAGCATGTGTCTGGCACCACACGCAGTCTGGACCATGCTCACTCCTGTTCGCGTTTGCTGTGCCTTAGTCCTCCCAGCGCAGACACGCGCAGACCAGTGATGGGCGGTCATGGGGAGATGACAGCCCACCGTGCTCGGTGCTGGGGGCATCTGCAGACGCCACCTAGCACTCCCAGAGGGCTAGCTGTGCTCTGTGCTGCCCTTGCAGGACGGGAGGAAGGATGTGGCCAGCACTTCACAGCCCACACTGGGCTCCAGGACTGTTCTCCTATCTTGGGACCAGAGCCCGGGGCCGCGCTCTGCAAGGTGGAGGAGCGGACTGTGTTCCACTTGGGGTTTCAATGCATCCAGCCAAGTTCATGTGCTCATAGTACATGGGCCTGCAGAAGGTGATCAGTGGCTCTGTGAGAAGAGGAAGAGACCCAAGCTGGCACTGCTGCTGTCTCCCATGTGACACACACCACCATGTCCTGATGCAGCAAGAAGGCCCCACCACGTGTCCAGCAGAGGCAGGTGCTATGCTCTGGACTTCTCAGCCTCAGAATCTGGGCAAAGAAACCCCAGTATTCTTCATAAATCACCTGGTTTCAGGTTCTTTGTTATAGCAACAGAAAACAGACTAAGACACCCCCCAATTGCTTGGCACGTCTAATAAAATGGTGGGAAATGGGCATTTATAGATGAGGTCTCCTTTCACCTGGAGAGATGGGGTTTCCACCTATAGATGCCCTTGGGGCCAGCAGCCACCCCCGGCTGGTTTGGTATTGCTCTTCTTAAATGAATTCCCAGTTACTACCAGTGTCCTCACGGCTGGCCTTGCTGCCCCTCCCTGATGTCGGCCTATCCTACGTTCACCTGCAGGGTTCTCCTGACTTTAGAACACCGTCAGGGACACACACCGAAAAGCCTCTGGGTCCCCAGGTTTGGCATTCTAGAGTATCAGACAGACCCCCAGCTACATCAGGAATTCCTCATGAGCAGTAGACCCCAGAACTGGGGATGGTGAGGGCCCTGGGGTCTGTGAATAGCCAGCTCTCCCCTGGGGTGTGCTGAAAGCCCTGTTTGTTCCGTTCTGCTCTGCCCACCAGAGGCTGTCCCTCCAGACCCCCCAAGTCCCTCTCACCCTGTCTCATCACCAAGGCCCAAGACTCTCCCCCGCTCTCTTCCCCCTACTTCTGCTCCCTACTGGGAGCTCAGAGACGTCTTGCTAGGGCCAGCTTTCATGAGGGGCTTAGTGGCTCCTGGCTGCTGACCTGGGCACCTCCTCAGCCAGGTCCAAGCCAACGAGACAGCTTTGAGCACACCCAGGAGGGGGGAGGGCGGGAGGGCAAAACCCAGCGGCCTCTGGGCCAGCCTGCTTGCGCTGAGCTCCTGCCTCCAGCCAGGTCAACTGGGCCATCCGCGGGCCAGAGAGTCTGGAGCTTTCCTCCCAGCGGCCTCTCTGGGCCACGGCCATGACCCCTTGACTCAGCACACGTGTTACTCTGTCAAAACTCCCCAAGTTCAATGGGCTAAGGAGACCAAGGCCCTGACTTGAAAGCAAAAACCAAAGCACAAACCCAAACTGGACAAAGCCTTAGGTACCTGGGAGGGGTGGGGGTGCCTCACCTCACTCCTGGAGGTGACATGGGCCACCCTGGAAAGGTGCGAAGATGTTGCCCCCTCCCCATTAGAGAGGGGACAGACGCAGGGTCAGGACAGCCCAGGACAGGGGTGTGTTCACCACTTGGATCAATGCTGCTGTGGACTTCAGTCTCCAGCGTGACTGACTTGTGCAGAGAAGTGTACAGCATGCCCCCGGCGGTCACCTCAGTTGCTAGAGTCATGGAGTTAAAGGACCCACTTCCAGTGGATGAGATGTCCAGTCTCGAGGTCCAGAAACAATCAGATGGACTCCAGAAGCAGTGCGGACAGGAAGGGGTAAGGAGTCCCAAATGGAAGAGACTGATGACCGCTTCCCGAGTCACAGTGACATAAAAACGGGGCCCTCTGGCAGAGCTTGAGGCAGAGGGCTTCCTCCACCGAAGAGAGAAAACTGAAGGAAAGAGCGGATTCTGGAAGGAATCAACCTCCAGGGGCCAAGGACACAAAGGACAAGCAGAGCCACAGGAAGCAGAGGCCCATCAGTGGTAAAGACGTAAAGGGACTCAGGGGGTGCCCGGAGAGACCCACTGGGGACAGATGATGACCCTCGGGTGCTCCCCTCCCCTCTCCCGCCTTTCTGGGGGCTTGGAAGGAAAGACAGTAGAGGCTGTTGGCACAGTGGGGCTGGGGGTGGAAGCTAAAGAGGAACTAGGGCCAGGCGGCACTGGGGTCCAGGGTCTACTGTGGGACCCTCCCTCCCTCCTTGACCTGCAGTTTTTCATTGTTGTTGAAGGAATGTTTCCACACCATCAGCCGGATGTTTGCACACACCTCAGGCCTTTTGAAAGGTTCTGGCTGGACCTGGGGCTGGTGGGCGGTGAGTGGGTGCTGAGAAGGCTGCTGCCGGATGTTGCATTAGATTCCAGGAGAAAGGCGGTCAGTCACAGGGTGAGGGGCGAACCCTGTGTGCAGTCAGGTCTCTGCCCCCACCCCCAGCCTGCGCCCGGGGACAGAGGAGGGTGCTGGGACGCCCAGAAGTGGGGAAAAGCAATTGCAAACTGTTCAACTGGAAGGAACTAAAAATACTCCTCTAAATTCTGGTGTATGAACCTGGGACAAATAAAGAAAGCGCTCTGAGAGACTGAGGAAGCTGGGACTAGTGTCCTTGGGTGCCTTTCAACATGCTGACCCCAGACAAGAGCCCGCACAGGTGGGGGTGACTGGGAAATCTCTGGTGGGCTGGGCTCTTTGTCAGCAGCCTATCTACAGTTCCTCAAGGGACCGTCTCCCAGGCCAGCCTGCCCAGGTCACCTCCCACGCAGGAAACCTCCTAGAGAAGGTTCTAGTCCTGAATCAATTTTGTTTAATTCTTGCTCCCCACCCCTCTCTGAAGCGGTGTTTTTATCTAACACAAGGAAAACCAGTCCCAGGCAGATGCAGAAGTCTGACTTAGGGGGAGACTTATTTTTGATTGATGCGCCAAACTGCTGCCTTCCTGCTGTTTGAGAAACACCACTTGCCCTTGCCTTAAGAAGCGGAGTATTTTGTCACCAAGCACGTGCTGTTTCCATTCTCTCCCCAGCCACCTCCCCTTTGATGGTCCCTACTTTTAGCAGCCAGTCTCTGGGTGGCCCTCAGGGTGAGCCCCAAGGTCCCAGGTGCTGTGCAGAAGATCCAGGTCCCCAGAGTCCCCTGCTGCGGTGGAGTCTGGGGGCATGGTGGGGCCGGCCAGTTGGCCTACTGTGACCGTCGCCAGGGAGCCACAGAATGCCCAGTCTTTCAAGGGGTCAGGTTCTGCGCCCTGATGATCTGTGCTGGGGCCAGGGCTGCTGGCAGGGGCTGTGTCCTTCTGCCTGTGTGCTGAGCACCTCACCTGGGCCGCGGGCCCCGAGGGCGCTGCAGGACCAGGGCACGGGGCCCGGCTGCGAGTGCGACCCTTGGATGGGCTGCGGGGCTCCCCAAGAAGCCGACCACGTTTTCTCGTGTTTTGAGTTTCCAACTTGCTGAACACTGAGATTTTTTAAGAACAAAAGTAACTATGACCGGCTGGCTCAGGCTTCTGGGGCGCGGGCT